ACCGGGTAAGACTCCTGGTATTTGTCTCACTCTTACCGGGTAAGATTTCGTTGGTCCCTACCGTATTTATCCGGCAAGGTAATATGACTTGGTAAACGTCTTCCCCTTAGCCGGGTAAGCGTTTGATAAATGACCCCGAAGATAAAAATATCCCACCAAGGCATTCCATCGAACACTTGGAAGGCATACATGTTACTGTCATCATTATAGTAAAAAATGAAAGGGTAGCAAACACCATGTTAAATTCAAATCTACATTAATTTCCAGTTAAATCAGCACCAGATTACATAAATGCAAATCTTTTTGGTATTTACCTGAGATAAAAGTTGTCTGGTTACCTGTCATCAGTAAACGACATCGACATAAAGGATCTTTCATATACTCATACTTTCTCGTCTTCATTCCACCAAGCAACTAGCTCATAATTTGAATCAACCATAACATCTTTCACTCCAAAATCCGTCGGAAACTCAGAAGCAGGGTTGTTTCAATTAGTCGCAGTACACTATTTGCTCTTTCTTGTATTGGATGAATCTAACAACGTAGTAAATAGTAATTAGTGGTTGTTGGAGTGATTGTTAGGATGTTCTTGAAGCGGTAAAACAAGATTAAGATGAAGAGGATGACAGTTGCCGGATTTGGCGGGAAAGATACATTAATTGAAGACCAAATCGTTCTTCTATGCCTGCAACTGTTAACCAAGACGATTGATTTGGAATTTGATCAATGATACCAACGGTGAATTTCAGTTCTTCATTTTTAAAATGGATTGAATAAAAATAAGATTAAGAAAATGTTGAGAGTGGGATTTGAACCCACGCCCTTTCGGACCAGAACCTTAATCTGGCGCCTTAGACCAACTCGGCCATCTCAACTTTGTGTTAAATTTCTTGTCAAATATATTAATATTCAATTTCGTAGCTAACATATTGTCATATATATCATTAGCACACGTAAAAACATCCTCTCGATATAAAAGGTTAATTATGTAATTTGTTAAGTATGCATTAATTGCGGTTTGTATTTCATAATTGAAACTATAGAGGCTAATCATTTGTTAATCGAAGAAAAGGTGGTAACTATGTTAACCTATCTAGACCGTTCATTTGTAAGATCTACGATTATGATATAAGCGTGTCATAATTGTAATATGAAAACAATGGGGTAGGTGTTTGGCTTTGAAGACATAATGAACCTTGGTGAACAAGGGTAACAATGTAATGACTACCGCAACAAATTAGGATAAGATCAAGATTGACTATTTTCTTGGTTAACAAAGGACCGGAAGAAGACCCTCTCCCTCTCTCTCTCTCTCTCTCTCTCTCTATATATATATATATATATATATATAGGCAAATGGTCACGTGAGAATGAAAATTATGGTGAGAAGCGTACATACAATTCTGAACCATTGATCACTTTTAATATCATGCTCACCCATAAACTGCGTTTTATAATGAAATTAATCTGGTGCATCTCGGTGTACCTCATTATTATTGACAATCAATTATGATTAATCCAAGCATGAAGATCTCTTCTTAAGGTTTCTCACCATAACTTCCCTTATCACCGAAATCCAACCCTATATATATATATATATATATATATATAGGTGGAGGTTCAAACGAGAACCCCTGTGATTTACGAAAACGCGAAAACAATCCAATAACCTCAAAATTTTTTAATTAATAAATTAACTTTTATTATATATAAATAATTTAATAAGGACAATAATGTAATTAAGTAATTTTTATAATTTTTATTTTATTTTAATTAACCATAATTATCTTTTCACGTTCCACGTTTTACTCTTGGTAGTTATCTTCTTCTCCTTCTCGTTCATGATAATCTCCAGATAGTCGATGGTTTAACATCTTTTCTTCGTATCACACCTCTATCACATAAGTATCACACTCATATCATATGATTATCACACCCATATTATATGATTACACCAAAATTTTAACTTATCAACCAAAACGATAACCCAAGTGATGTATAACAGTGATTATCACACCCTTATCACATGATTATCACACCCAAATCACATGATGACACCAAAATTTTAACTTATCAACCAAAACGTTAACCCAAGTGATGTATAACGGTGATTATCACACCGCTATCACATAAGTATCACATCCATGTCACATGATTATCGCACCCCTATCACATGATTACACCAAAATTTTAACTTATCAACCAAAACGATAACCCAAGTGATGTATAATGGTGATTATCACACCCCTATCACATGATTATCACACTCATATCACATGATTATCACACCTAGTATAATCCTAAACTATTTCGTAACCGTTTACTAGATAATGATAAGATTAATGATAATAATGAGTGTTTAAAAGATAATGATCGTGTTTAAAAGATTTGAGGATATAATTTCCATTATTACCCTTTTAATTTTWAATTTTTTTGAATCTTTTTAAATTTCAATTTTAATTTTAAAAATCTTTTAATTTTATTTTTTATCACATTATGAAGTTATTGGGTTGTTCTTGCGTTCTCGTAAATCACAGGGGTTCTCGTTTGAACCCTTCCCTATATATATATATATATATATATATAAACCATTAGTTTGCCACATCTTTTTGTTGTTTTATGGTATATAATTTTATCCAAGTCATACTTGATTGTGTTTATCAAAAACAAATTCAATTCGATAACAATAAGAAGCTGTTAATACCAAACTAAATGAGTAACTGATGAAAAAACATTGAGGCAAAGGATTTTGTGAGAATCAGAGTTAATGTGAGATTCGTAAGAAGAGATTTGGACCTTTGATCGCATTTAGGGGCTGTTTACCAAATTTTCTATTAAGTCCTGTGTGGATAAATTTGTCTGTCTGGATAAATTTGACTGTCTGGATAAATTTATGTTGTTGTTTACTTTTCTATCTGAATCAACAGTCTGAATAACAGAAATGACCAATTTACCCCTGATGATTAACTATGGGCTGTTTAGTAAACCGTTGTTCAGTTTTTAAGGCAAATTATGAGCGATCAAACAAGAATGAACAATAATCTGGTTATGAAACATCGATTTCCAATAGTGGAATCAATTAAATTACTGGAATTCAACACTACAAACCGTGAATATCATGCAACAGTGGAGAAACAGAGAGCGTGGTCACAGATATGGATACTGTGGATACACTTCCACCATCACAACCTCCTATGTGAACCACCATTGACTTTCTAAAGTCAAACCCACTTTTAACTTGCAGTATTGTGCTATCTCACAAGATATGGATACTGCTTGTGTTTCTGAACAGAACACAGTCATCTATATGCAAATGCTATGGGTTTTCTCAACTTAGAAAATCAGCAGCAACAAAATGTATACATAGACCAACTAGGGTTTTTCTATACGCAAATCAACAGCAATTTAGCACCAATATAACAACAACTGAGCACCAATCGAGCACCAATCGATATATACAGAGAAGTATTTACCTTCGATCGGCCGATTAGGGTTGTTGCAGAAGAATGCGTCGATTATTGAGGACAGAGAGCGTGGTTAAAATCAGAGATAGCGGCGATTGTTGAGGAGAAAGCGTTGATTGTTGAAGAGAAAGCGTGGATTTGAAGAAGTGTTGGTCGATTTTTGAGGAGAAAGGGTCTATCAGCGTCGATTTGAAGAAGGGTAGGAGCGTCCTTTGTCTGGCTTAACGTGGACAACAGAGGGTAGCGGGCTGCACGATTAAGCCCATGTCTGGGCGATTAAGTCCGAAGTAAACACCCTTATATGTCTGCGCGAATAAGCCAATTGATCCATTAAGCCTTATTAAGCCCTAAGTAAACAGGCCATTAATCTCAAACTCACTCATGAATCACGTTTGATATGGAGACTCATACGGTGCATCTCATCCTAATGTGCATCTAAGGGTGGATATTCATTTTTACGCTTATCACATTAACTCTTTTTCTCATCGAACCCAGCCCCCCCCCTCCCCCAACACACACACACACACACACACACACACATATATATATATATATAATAGTATTAGATGAAAAAAAAATCATATGAAATATATAAGTTCTCAAGATTATTATAATTTCATAGCTTCATAAATACATACATATATACATATATTTCACTTATACATTTTCAATTTGTTGTTTCTTAATTTCTTCTATTTTGAAGTTGGAATATAACATTTTGCTTTGCCTTTCTTTCTTTCTTTCATCTTAAAGTAATCCACTCTAAATGCATCTATTCCCAAAATTTTGAGGTTTTATACTCACTTAAGTTACTTGTATAAAAAATATGTTAGAATGTTTACATATCGAAAAAATGTGCTCTAAAGTAATATTTTTTTCCTCAAAATGCCCCTCTTTAAAACCACCATCCCATATTAGGGGTCTGATAAATGCGTCCACTGTATTTTTTGAATGTCGTTATATTTCTTGAAACTAAACTAAAGACACAAATTTGTGATGATTGGTTATGTTGCCATGTTAAGGTCCTATTTCTGGAAGGATGTCAGATTGAATCTTGTTTTTTCGCAAAGGCAAGGAGCTTTACCAGAGGATAGGATTGTCATTGTAAGAGAGAAGTTTATGAGAGTTAAAAAAATAATTTGGTTTTCAAATATGATAAGTTGTTTCTGATAAGTTAGAAGAGAAACTTATCAAAAACTTCTTATTACTATTTTGGCACCGATATGAACGTTCTTTTTTTTCTTTTCTCATCCAAACACTAAAAAGTGCTGATTACCGGTACCATACCGGAATAAGTCAATGAACACTTTAAATAAACAATTCCAAACACCCCCTATTTCAGTGTGGTGCCGGCAATAAGAAGTTTTTAATATTTGGATGAAAAAAAAGAAATACTTATCAGCTTATTACGTTTTAATACTGACACAAACTAATTCAAACATTTTTTTTATAAAACTCTAATTTATAACTAAAAAAAAATATAAATTGTTTTAAATAAAGACTTCCAAACACCCCGTGAGCTTATAGCTTTATACCGTAAAGAAGAGAAGAAATCCAAATTGAAATGTTTTAAAGCTGGGAATCGCCGACGATGACATAACGTAAGAATTTTTTTTCCTCCTCCGAATCAATTTCTTGATGATCAAGAAACATAAAATGGAAGAAGCAACGTTCGTCATCTGATCTTTCCAATTCCATACACATTTTCATACCTTTCACAAAGAAGTTACCTTTGGTTTTTCTGTTCCGCTACACACAAAACGGCTACATAGAGGAATTATGGTGCTTTGGGAGATTACATTGGGAACCGCTTATTTTTTGGGATTGAAGAGGACATACAAGCTTGCTCTCAAGATTCAACGCCGTCTTGTTGCTCCTAAATACCCTAAGATCCGTCTATTCCTTCATAGGTATCTCTCTATTAAATTTTATGTTATATATTTTTGTGATTTATACGCTCTTTCAATCGGCTTTTACTGATCCTGCTACTTATGTTTTTGAATTTGATTGGTTGATTTCGTTTGTTTTGATTAATTTTGGTCATACACCGGGAATTATGTACGAGTATCAAGGATAATTTAGGGGTTTACGTCTCCTCATTTCATTTGTTTTGATGCATTGTTATAGTAGTGGCATTTTTTGTTCGAAAGTGAGCGTGTTGCAACATATGGTCTAGTTATCTATGTCCATACATACATGAATTAGATACCTGGAACCCAAAGGAGGAATAGAAAATGTAAGCAAGCAACAATTGGAGGTGGCTAAACAAACAGTATATATAAAAGATTAGAACAAGTTAATAGATGCAAATATGGAAGAACTGTGCGTGAAAGTGCCATGTTTGTTGTTGCTAACCATGTTGCAGAACATATTGTATTGTTTAGCTTATGAAATTATGCTTCTTCAGACAATACATAAGCTTACATCAGATTCTAGTTCTACTATTGGTTAACATTATGCTATTGAGAGTAGGCTTCATATATGGAGATTTCATTTTCTTTTTAGGGGGTTGTTTTTCTTTAACCTTTTTGTTGATTTTTTTGAATTTGAAATACTTTATCTCAAAACCTTACGCTCCATATGCTTAACCCATTTTCCTTTGTTACTCGGTCCATTATGTGGCCCCATCTCTATTATTTATCCATATGTGGCGAGTGTACCCAATAATGAAAAAGACAAGTGAATGACATGACAGGTCGTAGATCCTCAGTTGCATCCTATCTTCAAGGCTTGCTTATTTTTTTTTTGACATATCTACTTGGGCCAAACATCTTATATTAATGATGTCCAATGTTTGTATTATGTTGTAACTTTTCTTGTTAATTTGAAACAAAAGGATATGAACATTTCAATTTTTCTTGGAAGGTTGGCTACCCTCTAGTAATTGAACATTTTACTTCCTACTTGGACTTTTGCAAAGGAATTGGAACAATGTGATAAATTCTTTATGGTTCTTGCCGTTGATGGTCTATGTGTAGATCTTAATCCTATTTCGTGATCAGATTTTGGTTGTTCTTGACTTCTTGTTATACTGTCTCTTAGTGACATATTGGCTCGTGTTCTTCGAGCATCATCTTACAAGTGCTATTCTCCTATAAGTTGCAGTTTTTTCATATACGTGGATGTTACATTTATTAAGTCACGACCTTATGTAGCATCTCTTTCTACAGTTGCACAATCTCCTTCGCCACCATCTTCATCTCCTCCAATAGATAGTGTGTCGTCTCCCTATAGTGATCATGTCCTTCCTAGTAATGCATCTCTTGCACCTGGCTCCTCTCGGACCTCTCCTCATGCGATCCTCTTGAAGATCAATATCCCATTCCCATTTGCAAAGTTATGCAATCCTCTTGCAACTAGCATCCCATTTATGATATCCTTAGTTATCATCGTCTTTCGACACCTTATCAAGCCTTTGTCTCTGCTCTCTACAAATGGGGCATTGTCGAATCCTAAATGTCGTTAGACTATAGTTAAGGAAATTGCTACCTTACCTGCTAATCGTAATTAAGAGTCAATTGATTTACCTTCTAGTGACTCCATTGTTGGTGTCATTTGTTTTATACAATCAAGGTTGGACCTAATTGGCCAGTTGAGGGCCTGCTTGGAGGATAAAGGACACAAACAAGTCTACATGTAGGATTATTTCGACACTTTTTCTCCTGTGGCTAAGATGTCTTTGATTGCTTGATCATCTCAATTGTTGCCATCCGACAATGGCCCTTGTACCAATTGGACCCTAAAATTATATCTGCTTGGTGATTTAGGCTATTCGGTAAGGGCTTATTGAGCCATATAACAGATATGGCTGATTCACACAGCCATATCCTTGGGTTCAGTAAGGGCTTAATCACGCATAAAGGGGCTGATTCGCAAAACTATGTAATCACACTCCTATGTAATAAGCCATTGCTTTTCCCCCTACTACCCCTCTCCCCCAACTACTCACATTAATTGAAAAACACAACCCTAAATAGAGACGGGTACTTGTTCGATTGTTTTTCCCCCCATTGTTCTCCACAAGCTGTTGAATCCATCGCTCACACAAGTATGTCGTTCTTCTCACACGAGGACCCGATTGTTCTTCATCGTGCTTTGCTTTATCCGCATGCCTCACCATTGCTCCGATGTGTGTTTATATGTGTGTCCGTGTATTTATGTCAGGTGTGCATATATGTGTGTGTATTGTGGGTTTTTTAAGAAACCGTCAGACGAAGGGTGTGGGTGTGGGTCTGTGTGTGTGCTTTGTATAGGTGTGCCTGGATGTGTGTTCTGTGTTGGTGAAGGCTGGAAGAGTGAGCCCCCCATTCCAGTGTCTGTTGCCTGCGGAGATTTTAGAGGGTTAGGTAGTGCGATGTTAGGGACGATGGTGAGGGGAGGGATAACAAAGAAAGAGGAGGGTGTTGTTGAGGGTTTTTGATTGGAGTAGGGAAGAGCAGTGAACCTGTTCATTTCTTTTGGTTGGGTTATGTAAAGTGCAAAAGATTTCTTACCACCAACATAGACATCACCACTTGGGACATTCTTCATTGTAAATGGACTGTAGGCATTAGATCATTTTTTGACTCTTTATTTTCAATTTTGATTAGTTGAGAGCATAAAGGAAAAGGACAGTTGGAAATCCACATGAATAGTTATACATGTATCCATCCATATTTTCATCAAACTGTTGTTTTATTTAAACAAAAATAAAGACTGGGGGTAAAATGGTCATTTCTGACATTCAGACTATTTATTCAACACAACAACCGAACAACAACCGAACAACTTATCTGTTAATATTCAGACAACTATATCAATACAGACAACTATATCCATATAGGTCTTAACAGAAAACGAACCGAACAACCTTGTTGATTTAACATCCTTGTTTCTTTTATGATATCCAACGCATACTTCCTTTGGCATATGACAATACTAGATTTAGACTAAAAAACATCTATCACAAGAAAATACCCAACAATCCCAAGAAAAATACCTAAAGAATCCCAACTATTTGGTCTGAAGTGCTAACATTGTGTTCAATATATTTATACCATGGTGACCATTTCTAGTGGTGGTACAATATCATCGACATAGACTACTAGATAAATACATTGTCGTAGCAACGTATGTCGACAAAAAACTATGTGATTGAATTGAGATGGAATCATACTAGATTCTTAAAATTGCTTTACTATTATTTCAAGTCATACAATGAATGATGAAGTCCAAAGAACCAATGTATACTCCCTCAGAGCGACAAAGCCACTCAGTTGTTCTGTATATATATTCCTCTAAATCACCAAGCAGATAAAATTTTAGGGTCCAATTGGTACAAGGGCCATTGTCGGATGGCAACAATTGAGATGATCAAGCAATCAAAGACATCTTAGCCACAGGAGAAAAAGTGTCGAAATAATCCTACATGTAGACTTGTTTGGACCTAACTGGCCAAAGGAAGTTGTTGGTCCCAAAGGGTCTACAAGAATACTAAACAGTTTGTAGAAGGGGGGGGG